ATATTAAAGGTACTTTAGGGGAAGCCCTGTTAAGTTGGCAATTGAAACACTGACAAAAATTAAATAATTACTATATTTTAATTTAGTATTTATTTGACCGCACCCCCAGATTAACTCCTTCTCAAATCATACAGCAAGTTGATCAAAATCATCAGAGCCGTTTTTGAGAAAATTGTTAAAATGATTTCACCGTTGATATATATTTGCATTTCCGATTAGCCGATTTTAAGGTGAAAGTTGCATCCGCATCTAAGACATATCTATCTTAAATAGGTAATATCAGTTTCGTATGACTTTTTGTTTTTGAGCTAGATTTTTCACATACACACACTATTTTGCGGGACTTGGTTAGTTGGACTCAAGGGACCTCAAAACGTGTATGTCTGATAAAAAATCAGATTCAAAAATTTTAACGATCCCAATATTTACGCTTACTATATATTACACATATATAGGCAAGTGAATGTAATAAAAAGAAGGATTATATTTATTCCTATTTAGTATTTTTATGATTTAACGATGCGTATGTAAAAGGAAGGGTGCACTTAGTAATGACAATTATGTGTCCTTGTTATTGGAACTGCGGTTTCAATTATCTTAATTAACTAATATGATTATAGTGTTTACGTGCTACTCATTAAATACCTTTCGAGTTATAGACTATAATGATTTTCTTGATTGTGTGTCATTATCTTGTCTTCTGAAAAATAACACGTTTACTGACACGAAACTTAACAATCAGGTTTAAAAAGTTTAGTTAACCATTAAGTTTTTACCCATATAATATTGATGGAGTGATAACAGACTAAAGACAGACCAAACTAATGGAGTGATAACAGACATAACGTGACGTCAGCACAGAGGTTGTGTAAAATAAATTTTTCACTACCGCATTCATTTGTAACTTTTTATTTTTACGTTTACTAAAATATATACTTTCGTTTATCATTAATTTTCTTTATTATTATTTTGTACCAGTATTTCTCATATTAGTAAGGGGCAAATCCATTAGTAACTTTTCATCAGCTGTAGTTTTGTGTAGACCAGCAAGGCAATATTAATCTCTATTAATAAAATATGTTATATCTATTACTTTCACTTACCTACACATGAAATGGTACTTCTTAAATAGCCGGTCGGGCAATCTTAACACTGATAATTCTGATAAGCCACTGATAATATCTTCGTATTCATATTTTTTGTCTTATATTTATATTATTGATATTCATATTATTATATCTTCGTATTCATATTTATTGTATCATATTCATATTATTGAAATTAGAAGCAAAAACAATTGTAATAATAAAAAATACTTTTATTTTACAACATATATATCTTCTATACATATATATCTAACATATATATCTTCTACCCCTAACCACTCCTAATCTTCCCCCACATTGGCTACGGCTGCGTAGTGTACGGTGTCCTCTCATCAGAACTTGGAGACAGACTAAAAACAATCACGAATGGGTTAGTACGATTTGTCTATGGAACCCCGAGACGTTCTCATGTTTCCCTCTACTACGTCGAGTTAGGGTGGCTCTTCCCCTCCTTCAGAAGACAATATTTCCTAGGTACATACCTTTACCAAATAATCAATAATCATCGTCCGTCCTACGCATTCAATCTCCTTCAATTCAAGTCATCTATCCACTCCCTATCCACAAGATCTCGTCCTTCTGACCTTTATACCCCTTTCCACAAATCAGCCTCATTTCAACACTCCTTTATTGTATGCTCCACCACCTTTTGGAATTCCATCCCACTTAAAATCCGCCATGCACCATCCTTATCCATATTTAAAACCCTCTTATTCCAATTCCTCCATATAATTCAATCAGACGCTGGGTAGTCATTTATCATGTATTTTATATATGTATATAATCTCGTCTATATGAATATTTTCTTTTATTTTCACCGGTCAATTTAAATCTTGGGATTTAGATTATATAGGACTTGTATAATGTTTACAATGCTATTATTGTATTCCTTGAACATATTAAGGTACATATGTATATCATTTAAAGTAAATATTTATCCACTCTTTTATTATTATTTTTTTCATTAATACAATGGTCTGACAACAAAAGTAATTTGTCATTCATTCCAAATCTCACTTAAAATTCCATAGTTTATTGTTTTTAGTAACTATCTTGCAGTATTAGGACCTTATTGCTCATATTATGTCTTTAATATATCAGTATAGTTATGTAAATCCTTCTGTTATTACTTATTTTTTAATTTTTTTTATTGTAATATGCATTTTGGCCAGATGTTATGTTAATTTTTATGTACAATATTATTATTTTCAAGGGAGTTTGTCCCAGAATAAAGTTGATTCTTCTATTCTATTCTATTCTATATATTAAATAGACCAAAACATTGCACATTAAAAACATTACAACATATATATATATAAATAAATAAAATAATAAAAAAAGGCAAAAAATAGACAAAAATAAATTACATCTCTCGGATAGTTTCAGCTGCAGTTTCCTCCACTGGACTGTTGTTAAATTATGGGACCACCCATAAATGAATTTTAAAGCCGTTAAAAAATAAATCCTCGACCTCTCTAACCAGGTTCCTTTCCTTATAGAAACGGTTTTGTTACAACTACGAAAGCATCTCCATTTAATCTTTCCGTCGAACTTCATTCCATGACCTTCATCACAATATTTCACGTTTGCAATTATCCCGGTGTCTTGAAAATATTTGATAGCCTCTTCTTCTGAAGATGGCAATTCCCACAATGTAACACCAACCATATTTTTATGAAAATAACACAAACGGAACAAAAATAAACGATGGAATAACTCACAGCTTACACGGGGAACAAAAAATAAACAAAGAAATAACTTAGGTTAGACGAGATAAGAAGGGAGGTTATGTGATATAAGATTAGATAACAAGGGAGGTTTCGACCTCTACCGGCTATTTAAGGAGTTCACATGAAATATATAGTAAGAGGGAGTATTGCGATCGTGAAAATTTTTAAGTTGAGTTTTCAACGAAAATACACGTTTTGAGGTCCCTGAGTATAAATAACCAATAGCCTGCAAAATGGTCTGTATGTATGTGAACAGTCTAGTTCAAAAACGAAAAGTCGTACGAAACTGATCTTACGTATTTAAGATCAGTATATGACTTCGATATGACAGTACCTTTTCCTTAAAATCGGCCAACCGGAAGTGGCACTTCATATATGTATACAGGGTGTTTTAGAGTTAAGTGACCAAACTGCAAAAATGAAGTAAGGACCTTGAAACAAAAAAAAAGTTTCTTCTGAAGGTAAGTCCGCAAACGCTTTGTTTAGGAGATATTCGCACCTAAAATTGTTTTTTTTTTAAATTACGTTATATGAAATAAATAAAACCTATTTATGTGTTCTAACTATTTTATTAATTAAATGTAAACATTAACATTCATATTAATAATTAATTAGTTTCATAAACGCATTTCTTGCCGCCTCGACTCAATGCGGGCACACTTCTGGAATTTTTTAATTATTAATTTGATCTAGTTGAACATATTTCACTATAACTGAGAAGGGACATGTGGCTTCAATTAGATGGTTGTTTTTCACATTACAGAAGTGCTCTACAATAATAGCTAAATTATCCCAATTAATGGATTGGCTGTGCAGAACCAGTGGCTTGGACTGCACGCTCTCCAGACCTGACACCACTGGATTTTTTGTTTAGGATGACATCAAACAAAAAGTCTATGCAAGTCCGGTCAATGACCTTAATTCCTTACGAAGAAGGATAATTGAATCTTGTGAAAAAGTAACACATATCCAGTGCCGTTCTGACACTGCTTCTGTGGAAGAAATTTGATGAGTCTGTCTTAATACTCAGGAAAATTACTTTGAACAACATTCAATATGAATTTAATGTTTACGTTTAATTAATAAAGTAGTTGGAACAAATAAATAAGTTTTATTAACTTAATATAACGTAAATATAATATATCTTTGTATATGGCTGTGTGGGGTACGGAGGCATCCCGATGGTACTCGAGGATAGATTGAAGCGACTCATGAATACCTGCTTAAGATTTGTCTTCGGTACATCAAGGCGGTCTCATGTGTATCACCTTTACGACGAGTTAAAGTGGCTCTTCCCTTCTTTCCGCAGATAATACTTCCTCAGATCTTTCCTATTCCAAACGATCAACTCCCGATATCCTTCCTACATCTACAGTCTCCTACAGTTTGAACCCGTGGTTCCCTCCCAGAAAACAAGATCCCGTGTTTCCGACCTTTATATCCCTTCAGATAGAACTAAGACGTTTGAATATTCCTTTATTGGCCGATCCACTGCCTTCTGATATCCGCCATGCCTCTTCCTTGTCCTCATTAAAATATCATCTTTACCAATTCCTTCTCACATCCCAAAATGACGTTATACAATGAAATAAATATTGCTAAACAGATTTCGAGTGAGGTGAATGGTTGTTAAAATTGACAGAGTTTTAATTTTAAAAATCAACCCATGTTTATTTTATTTTGTTCTCTTTCCATTTAAATAATGTTTTTTTTTTTTCAAAATGGTGTTGTTTTTACTTGTTTTAATATAATTTTACTGAAGATACTATATATTCTTTAATATTGACAAATGTTAAATGGTCAACTTTTGGCCAGATGTAGTTTTTATTTTTGTGTTCATATATGTTATTCATAAGGGACCTCTTCTCAGAATAAAGTTTACTTTCTATCTATCTATCTATCTAAATAATTCATAAAACCGAAAATCTTTAAGTGTGGATATCTCCTAAACAAAGCGTTTGCGGACGTACCTTCAAAGGTATTTTTTTTTTCTTGCCTTGAAGTCATTAATTCATATTTTTAGTTTGGCCACTTAATCCTGAAACACCCTGTATATTTTCCTTAAATTTTCAATAATGATTATGGCCTAATTTTGACCAATTGGTGAACACTATTAAATATAACTTTCATAATATATTATTAATAAAATTGGTTTTTGTTTCAGGAAATTGGACTTCATCCCAACCTGTCTGATAAACCTACAACGATGTATGGAGGATTCACGACCTACATGGTGGGACCTCTTACAAGCGCTCGTAAGTATAGCATAGATATATTTCCATGTGTGAATAATTTTTAATAGATTACGAATTATAATAGTATGATTTTTTTTACTACTCCTTTTGAAGTACCCTGAGTCCAAATGACCAAGACCCACAAAATGGTACGCGTGTGTATGTTAGCAGTCCAGCTCAAAAACGAAAAGTCGTACAAAACTGATATTACGTATTCAAGAAAGGTTTATGCCTTCGATGTGGCAGTGTTAAAGTAATAGTTATAAAAATGAATGCATCAGTGAAAAATTCATTTTACACAACCTCTTTGCAGACGCCAGCTGTATGTACTTAACTTTTGTGTGTTATCATTCCATTAGTTTAGTCTGTTATCACTCCATCAATATGATATGGGTAAAAACTTAATGGTTAAGTTAACTTTTTAAACCTGATTGTTAAGTTTCGTGTCAGTAAACGTGTTAATTTTAAGAAGACAAGATAATGACACACGATCAAGAAAATAATTATGGTCTAAAACTCGATAAGTATTTAATGCGTAGCACGTGAACATATAATCATATTAGTTAATTGAGATAATTGAAACCGCAGTTCGAAAAACAAGGACGCATAATTGTCATCCCTGACTGCACTCATCTTTTTATTTAACCTTCGTTAAATTCTAAAAACACTAGATAATAATAAATATAATCCTTCAATTTATTAAATTCATTTATTTGTAATATATAGTAAGGGTAAGTATTGCGATCGTTACAATTTTTTAATCTGATTTTTCATCAGAAATACACGTTTTGAGGTCCCCTCAGTCCAACTAATCAAGTCCCGCAAAATAGTGTATGTATGTGAAAAATCATCAAAGCTCAAAAACAAAAAGTCGTACGAAACTGATATTACGTATTTACGATAGGTATTTGTGTCTTTGATAGATGAATCATATGCCTTAAAATCGAATAACCGTAAGTGTCACTTTATATCAATGCTGGAACACATTTTTACAATTTTCGAATAACGGCCCTAACGATTTTGATTAAATTCGGTTTAACATTGTATAATTAAGTGGTCTTTAATACCAATTAGGTCTTATCCCCATTGATGTCACTTTACAGAGCTTAAATGCCCAATATCCATATACATCATTTTCTAAAGTAGCTTTAATATGGTTTATTTTAAATCATTAATCGTCTAACATTATTTAGAGTTACGAAAAAATGCTAAAAATAACTTTTAAAAGAATTTGATTATTTAAAAAAGGAGAAAAAAATAAAAAATGCGTATCCAGGTCGTAAAAGAATCTCCGGAAATACTAGTCAGAAGGTATACGTATAATATATAGTTCGGTCTTACGAATAATATATAATTCTTTACGAAGAAGGATAGTTGAATTTGTGAAACAATGACACATATACAGTGAGGTTCTGCCACTGCTGCTGTTGAAGAAAGATGCTTTCTTAATGCTCATGGAAACTACTTTGAACGACATTTAATATGAATGTTAATGTTTGCGTTTAATTATTAAAGTAGTTCAGACAATAAAATAGGTTTTATTTATTTCACATAACTTAAATAATTCATAACAAAGAAAATTTTAAGGTGTGGATATCTTCTGAATAAAGCGTTTGCGGACATACCTTCAGAGGAAATTTTTTACTTGTATCGAAGTCCGTAGTTCATTTTTGCAGTTTGGTCACTTATCCCCGAAACACCCTGTTTATATATATTATAACGAATTTGTGTTGTCCTCCGGCATTAATCGTCCGTCCTCATCCCCTGGCCTGAGAAAATACCGTATAACCTTAGAGGTGAGAAAGGGAAGGACAAAATAAAAAAATAAAATAAAACTATTTTCTGTTATAGGAGCGGATGATGCGTGGAAACTAAGGAGAAAAGAATATAATGCTGGTTTGAAAAAGTCACAGGTAAGTAATGCCTACCACAGTACCTTCGTTGAGTGCGCCAAGAAATTAGTTGATTTGATGTTGGCTTCTCCTTCAGCTGTGGATGCGATTAATAAAGCAATAGGTGTTACACATTTCGCTGCAATGAGTAAGTATAAGACATAACGCAAGGCTATTATGAATATCTAATATTTATATGTAACTAATTATTACTGAAATTATATTATAGATGAAATATATAATGAAATATATATATTATAGATGAAAATATATAGAAGAACCTGTAAATACCATTCTTTGAACAGTGAATGGTGATCGATATTTAGAGCCAAAAAAGAAATAAGGTTTAGGCCTAATCCTTAAATTTTCCAATCCTTTCTCACCGATCGCTCCCAGTACGTTGTAGTTCCTAATAAACCTCAATCAATGTCTCTACCTCTGTCCAGAGGAGTCCCACAAGGTTCCTCATTATCCCCCGCCCTCTTTTCCATCTACATTTATGACCTACCTTCCTGCATCATGCACTGTCAATATCACCTATACGCCAATGACGTCCAAATTTATCTTTCCTTCAACCCGACGGATTCCTCTAATGCTATCCTGAAACTGGAACAAGACATCAATAGAATTTGCGCATGAGCAAATCTTAATAAGCTGACATTGAATACGGAGAAGACAAAAGCCATCCTGATCGGATCCCCCTCACTCCTCAAATCCATTTCAACACCTCCTAATCTTCTTCTGAACAACTCACCTATCTCCTTCCATACCACTGTTAAAAACCTAGGCATTACCCTCGATCAAAGCCTCTCCTGTAAACCACACATCTCCCAAATCTCCCGCCGTACTTTATCCACCCTGAAACAGTTTAACCTTCTTATCTTCTTCCGTTCAAAACCCGTCAACTCTTGGTCTCCTCTCTTGTTTTCCCCCACTTCGACTATGGCTGCATGGTGTATGGTGAACTCTAGGGAGAACTCGAAGCCAAACTTAAACGTTTAATGAATTGCTCAATCCGCTTCATCTTCGGGATCTCAAAGGATACACTATTACCCAGTTCTATACCAAGTTGAAGTGGCTCTATCCGTCCTACCGCCGTCAATATTTTATGGCTACCTTCCTATACCGAGCCATTACAACAAGGCGACCTGCCTATGTTCTACAGATCCTACAATTCAAACGCTCCTTTCAATCCCGTCCCACCAGATCCCGTGCGTCCGACCTCCATCCTCCCCCTCACCGAACTGCTGCGTTTGATAAATCCTTTTTAATACAAGTTTTCTCCCTCTGGAACTCTATACGTTCAGATATTCGACACGCGAAATCGATATCCTCATTCAAATCTCTCCTCTTCGAACACCTACTCGATTCCCAATCCGATTGATCACGAAATGCACTTAAAAACCTCAAAGTACACCCAGATACTCTGATCATTTTGTAATTCACCGATATTTCGTTCACTCTATTAGTTTCTTTGTATATTTTATATTTATACATATTTATATCTTTTCATCATTTATAACTTTATTGTACTCCGAATCAACCTGTAAATATTAAATTGTATTTCATAGACACACCAAAATATTGATATATAATCTGTATTTGTGATTTGTTCTAAAGGGACACTAGTCCCAGAATAACAAAATTATTTTCATTTCATTTCATTTCAAAATATTTTGGTAAAATTAACTGGCTATCTAATAACTAAGGATTCAGACAATTTCTCTTAGATATTTTTTAATGGCTCTTACAATTTTTAAAAAAAATATTAGCACAATCAAACAGGGTTGGAATATTAGCAACAGTTTTAATTTAAGTTATTGCAGTATATTATCTACCATTAATAGTAGTTAGGTGTTGATTGACTTAATAAACTGTAATAACATTCAATAATTTTTTTTTTTTTTTAGTATTAATACAGTCTGCCACACTGAAGGACAATTCAATAATTAAGTACCCTTTTTTCAGGAAACTTATTTGGAATTTCAACAAATATAATATATCATCCGGAGTTCATCTATACAATGAGAAAGTAAGATTAATAATTCAGGTTTAATTTAGCTTTATGTCAATATTAATAAACGAAGCACGATGGAAAAATAACAGATCTAGCTGGACAAAGTTTTTTTATACCGCTGATTAAAATAAAGAAAATCTAAAATCACTTTTTTTACTTTCACTTACTTATACATGTGATATATAGTTAGAAAAAATATTGCAATCGTGAACATTTTCAAATCTGAGTTTTCGACAGAATTACAAGTTTAGACTCACCCATATCGTCACTCCAATTCACAGTTGGGCGTTATTCAATAAATGTTTATTCAATTAATTTTTAATGATTGAAGATTCCTAGAATAACCATCTGTTCTGATTTATTCTGAGAATTATTCAATATTTTTATTGAAAAAAAAATAAAACATGTTATTCAATAAACATGTATCTGAATAAATATTTATTATAAAAAAAATTTCTCCTAAATAAAAATGTAATCAGCAAAAAAATTAACTGGATAATCGTTTATTCTAGTATTATCATTTTTAAAAAACGTCTGCCAAGTTAGGTCACTACAGCTTCCTCACTGTTTGCATTGGCTAAAAAATATCTATATTACAAGGTCTAAAATTTCCGTTTTTGAAAATTCAGTAATCCCTCAACGTATAATAATATAGTAATAATAACCTTTATTTGTATCATAAAATGGATAAAAATAGATATATACAAAATCTTTACATTTAGATTTATACTTGACATTCTTATATGTATGGGGAGTGGGGTAGCTCAGTGGTAGAGCACTGAGCTTCCAATGCAAAGATCCTAGGTTCGAACCCCGGCTCATGGCAGAAAATTTATTTATCTGTTTCATTGGCCGTGGGGCGATCCTGGGTCGGGAGTCCCTCCTGGGGCACACCCAGCCTCTATAAAGTGGGTACTCTTAATTAAATAATTAATTAAGGGGGAAAACCTGGCGGTTGAGTGTGATCTCGGTCAAATCACCTCCTTGCACAACCGTTGGCTAAACTGTGCTATCCCTAAATAGTACTGTACCCCAGACCCTTTATGGGTTGTAGTGTTACAGGTTTTTTTTTATATGTATAAAATCAACATTTTAGTTGAGGTTTTGAATTCGATTTCTTTCTTCTTTTTTTTCCCCTCGCTTTCTTGTAACCACACCAGGTAATGAACCTGTCCCATCCGTTTCCACTCTTTCCTCCCCAATGCTAATCTCTTCCAGGCTGCACCCCCACAGGTCTTCTTCATCTCCTTGTACCAGTCTGTCGGAGGGTGTCCTCTCTTCCTCACGTTCCCCTGGATACCAATTCATAAACTGCCTGGTCCATGTTAATTCATTCCTCCTGATTACATATCTGGTCCAGGTCCACTTCCTGATGTACACTTTTCCACAATATCTGGAAGGTAAGTCTTAGCTCTGATCCATTTGTTCGCTTTTTCATCCCTTCGTGTTATCCTGAGAAGATATCGTTCCATTCCTCTGACGATCAATTTGTGTCAAGTCTTCTGGTCAATTATCCATATTTCACAACCATATGTCATGACAGGAAGTACTATGCTCATCCAAAGTTTTCTCTTGACCTCTGAGCTCACCGAGGATCTATATATATCTTTAAATTTGAAGAGTGCGTGCCATCCCTGGGTACATCACCTGATTATTTCTTCAGTTTGACCTTTAATTGAGACAAGGTTCCCAAGATATAGAAATACTTTCTCTATATGGTGGTGAAAAATTATAAAGATAGATTAGTTAACCCCAATCGGTCTAATTTATTTGAAACGGTTTGTGAAACTCGCGGAGCAATAGAATCAGAGAAAAAAATGAAAGTTAAAAAAAAAAGTCTGCTGAGGAAGATCAGACTTCTAGACACATCACTAGAATCAATAATAAAGAATGTTAATATTGGAGTAAGCCATTCCATCAAGCGAAAGGTTCATATGTGCCTAGAGAGATTTGAAAGTACATCAGAATATTTAACGTATAAATGATTATCGATTGTAGAACTATTAATGGTTAAACTGTTATTTTCTATTATAAAGTTCACTAAAATGAAATTACGAGATTGGCATTGCCTGCCATGGATAGATCAAAAGTTGTCACACTAATTGTAAGTGGATAATTTTGGGATTTCACAATAGGAAAATTCAAAAACTATTCATTAATTTAATTTCCTAAAAGGTTACTTAATGATTTTTTGGTATAAATAGCCAAAAGATACCTAATTATTTAAATATAATATCTTATCTAGAGTTATTAAACTACAGCTTGTAAACATATCCAAGAAATATTTTTATATTTCTCTTCTTCTTTAGTCCAAGTACAATTAAATAGTATTTTCTGGTATTGGCTTGATTCGGTGGATTTAATTACTTTTTTCAAACATAAAAAGAAATTAAAAGTTTACATTTAGTAAGAAAATTTCATTGAAAACATGTGATTTGCGTTAAATTATATTAGTTTTTAAAAATTATTATTTATATTTTTTTTTATAACTTTCTATATTAGATATTGTATTTGGGTTTTTTTAATTATCTGCTTTCCAACCATATATTATACACTCTATTATTTCCTGATATTCATTTTCGGCCTGGATAAGTATTTTTCTTTTTTTCTTCTTTATTAAATTATGAAATCCTTTCAAAAGTTATAACTCCTAACAATGAGAAATCATTATTATTAATAATAAACCAAATTAAAGGTACTTTGGAGGAAGACGTGATAATGTTGGGATTTCACAAAGGAAAAAATCACCAACTTATTCACAAATTTAATTTTCTAAAAAGTACATGACAATTATTCGGAATAAACGTTGATACCTAATTATTAAAATATAATATCAGATCTAGAATTATTAAACTACACTAAATGTGTTTAAGGTTATAAACATATGCTTTATACATCCATGAAATTATTTTATATTGAACTTCTTCCATCACATAAGTACAATGAAATGGTTTTTTAACAATGGCATTGCCTTGATTAGGTGAATTTAAAATACTTTTTTCAAACTTACAAATTTAATTATAAATATTTTTTTTTCCTTGAAAACAGGTGATTAACGTTAAATAATATTAATTTTCAAAAATTATTACTTATATTTTTTTCGCCACTTCTACAACTTTATTTATATTAATATATTTATTTTTCCTAAAATTCTCCGTTTTCCACGATATGTTACACGTATACCTTCTGACTGTTACTTCCGGAAATTCATTTTCAACCTGGATAAAAATTTTCCTTTTTTTATCCAGATTTCAATTATCATATGATATCAAACCTCATTAAACTTAGCCGTTTTTTATAGGTTTTGTCAATGAAAGAAAGTTATTTTTTTTAAATAAACCATATTATAGGTACTTTAGAGGAAGACGTATACGAACATTGGGCATTTAAGCCCTGTAAAGTGACATCAATGGGGATAAGACCTTTCACCGTTGATAGAAAGTGGCACTTCCGGTTAGCCGATTTTAAAGAAAAAGTTGCTGTATCGTGTAAGGCATTTATCTTAAATACTTAATATCAGTTTTGTACGACTTTTCGTTTTTGATCATTGAACAGACCATTCTGCGGGACTAGATTATTTGGACCCAGGAGACCTCAAAACACGTATGTTGAAAACTCAGATTCAAAAATTTTCCCGATCGTAATACTAACCCATCTTATTTCATACAAAAATATACATGTTTTGCTGATATCCGTTATACATCAAGTGCATTTAGGAGAAATATATTAATTTGATGTGATCCAATAAATAACAATAAACGATATTTAAATTTTGTTTTCAGCATTTTGAATGCAGGATCACTTGCTGCAGGAAACCCGATAATAGCAACTTTATTTTTAACATTAATGCGACCAATAGATGAATTATTTATGAGACAAGTAGGAAAATTGCGGAAAGTGGTAAATATTATCTAAAAACTTATTGTCCTTTATAAAAATAAATTTCACTAAATTAATAATATAATTTTATGTAACATGTCACTTTGTAATATTCTATTTGGATTTAGGTATGGGAAGAGATAGATAGAGCACGCATATCTGAATTGCTTCCTAATGCAGGTAATGATGATTTAAAAATATTAATATTTATTTATTGACTTATTATAATTTAGCAATAGGAACCTGATAAAGGTTCTGAGGCAAAAGAAAAGATATGCATTGAGGTCATCGGAGGATGATTCTCCTTCATCGACATTACTATTCGCCTTTTGTGTGGAAATAATTTTATTATTAGCTTGAATTCAACTTTTTCCTACTTTTAAAAATATTTTTCTTACTGTTATATATATATATATAAATATATATTTTTTATAATTTTGATATAGAACTACCAGTACTGATCCAGATTGCATCCAGATCTTTAAAATATGGTGGGAAAAAATGGAGAAAAGACACGATGTCCGAGCTACACGAGTTGTTCTTTACAGTATGTAAAAAGATTTTGTTATTATTTTTTTTTTATTAGTTGTAAATGAAATCATTCTGCCACATTGGAGGGCATTAATATTAAGACTACATTAAACATTCACAGAATAAGTACATACAAATGATAACTAAAATAGAGATAATAATTGTAAAAAATAAAATAAGAAAATTAATATACATATGTACAAAAAAAATACATCTGGTGTGTCCACTCGCACGACTTTCCTACCTATTTCAGAAAAGTTTTTATATGTTTACCTAAGTTCATGAAGAAACAAAAAAAAAATATTGAACTAGATTTATTTTCCTAAAAATTTATCAAAGAAAAGATTTGAGAACGATTTATTTGATAAATTAAAGCAATATAAACCGGCTTAAGGTAGATCAGTATAAAATTTCAATACTCTCTAATATTGCTGATCAAAAACTGTTTGCCATAGCTTAGTATTGTCAAAAAATAATTTCTGTTAAAAGTAGAGGAAATAGTAAAGGTTGTGTGATGCGGGCAATAGATTTTCCTTATTTTCACTTAGTCATCTTTTTTCTCTCATTCACCCTTTCTGACACCAGGATATGAACCCGTCATCTTACATTGGAAATTAAATAGCTGTAACTGCGTTATTAGTAATCCAAAATGAACGATTTTTACCTATAGTTTTGTAGGGAATTTCATTACCTTTCAAAAAACATTCAAAAAACTGAGTTAGGCCCCATAACATTTTTCTTTTGTTTATAACTTCTTTTCCTGTATTTTCTCGGGAAATTATTCCATAAATGAAAATTGAAAGAAAAATTATTAGAACATTATAGGAAAGTTTTATCAAAATCGTTAGAGTCGTATCATCGCTAATACTGGTTCGATTCCGACGATTTTTTTTTTTTTTTTTGTAATTTAATTACCTTTCAAAAGTTTTACTATGAATTTTACAGTATAGTATATACTTAGAGGGTTAGGACCCATAACATTTTTCTTTTCTTTACAACTTATTTTCCTGTAGTGCTTCGTGTTTTCCCAAGAACTCTCCTGAGCTATCTCATTTCTATGTCCGTTACTTTACTTGCATATTTGTCCAGAACCGTCCAAATCTCTGCAACATATAAAAGGACAGGCAGAAATACTATTTTAAAGCTATTTTTGTTTTCATCTTTACCTCCAGTTGTCATAATATTGTAATGCAAATAGAGTAAAACACACTATTGGCCTTCTTGACTCTATTAAAAACCTCCTGGTCGATCTCCGCTGAAAATCATGCTCAAGTACTGGTAATTATCTACATTTTCTAATGGCTCATTATTACTTTTTGTGAGAACTTGGTCTTCTACATCTCGGCCGACGAACATCACGTTACTTTTTTTAGGGTTTATTTCCATTCCCTTCTTCTGGAGTTCTTCTTACCATTCATTGATAGTCATCCGAAGCCTTTCTTAGGTGTCGGCAATCAGGACCACGTCATCTGCATATAGGAGAGCTTGTGCTTACACACGAATTAAATTCCAGTACCCCACTGTTGCTCTGGGTGTTCTTCGCTTGCAAACCTTCCATACTTCATCCATACATATGATGAATAATAGTAGCCTTAGGCTATCACCTTGCTTGACGCCTTTATAATACCTAAATGTCTCCGATTCAGATCAGTAAAGCCACAATATTCCCTTGGGATTCTGGTTTACCGATTTGGTAGAGCTGATGAGATTGGATAGCACCCGTTTTTCCTGTAGATCATTCCCAATATATTGGCGAGGAATCGAATCAAATGCAGCCTTCAAGTCCAGAAGTGCCAAAAATAGCCTTTATCCTCAATTCTATGCTTTCCTAACAACCATTCTTAATGAGAAAATATGATCCTGGATTTGCCTCCCTGGTCTAAAGCCAGCCTAATCCTCTTCAAGATCATGCTCCACTAATCTCCTGAGCCTCTGTTCCAATATTATTGTATATAATTTATATACTACAGAGGATAGGCATATTGGTCTATAATTCTCACATTTTGTCACGTTGAAAATCGGAATTATAATATTATTTTCCCAGACCTGAGGTATTTTCTTTTGCGACCAGATCTTTTGAAAGAGTTTCTGGAGGCACTTGACATTTTCTTCTCCTCCATATTTTATTAATTCTGGCATAATATTATTCATGCCTGCTGCTTTGCCCAATTTTATTTTCTCCATAGCTAATGCAATCTCATCTTCCTCTATAACACCCCCCTAACTATTCTCACTACTCTCCACCTGGTTTTCATGGATTCTAGATCTTCTACGGCCATCGTATGGAGTGAATTGCCTGTATTCCTGGAAGGAAAAGGTACTCTGGTAGTGTTTTTGCCATAATTTGAGAATTCCTTTTACATTTGACACCAAATTACCGTTATTGCCCCTCTTACTCATTATTACACTCTTAGTCCAATTACAACACTCTAGAATTTTATTTGATTTTAATTTTAGTTTAAGTCTGCTCCCAGGATAAAATGATGTCCTAAGAAATAGGGGAGGGAACTAAATTGGATATTAGAGATGGATTGGTTGGACAATACGCTGATGCAAAGTTAATAGGAAAGGAGAAGGTTTTATTATGTTAGCAGTTGATTGTAGGAAATCGTGGGTAGGTAATGGGAGTAAGTGATGAGAGAGGGATTGGTGTACAATTACTGCATTACCGGCATAAGAGTGTCCGTAATAAGAGCTACATCAACGTTCTTGTCTAGTAGTAGAGCTGTTAGTTGGTCAGTGTGATTTCTAACACCATTCGCATTCTAAAGGAGAATGGATAATAGATGAAATTTATTTAAGGATTTTCTAAAGGAGAGATGTAGTGAGATACTAGGTTTGTAAGGAGAGATATCAGTGGGGTAACAAGAAATTTGAATTCAATGAGAAAAGATTCCAACAAACTGGTAAGGTATGTAGTTTGTGATGGAGGGGGAATATGAGGAATGTGATGTCGATGAGATTGTTAAGGGTTTTGTACATTAGGAGGGATAGGATGTTGAAATTTAGATTGGGGTTCCTTTTGCGACAGGGCATCAAATTTGTCAGTTGGGGCTCTACCTCCTAGTAACTGAAAAAAAGAAACTTTAGAGTATACTATTTTAGCAGGTCCTCTTCTGGGCTTAAAAATTTCTTCTCGATTTCGGGATTTACGAAATTTATTTTTGTAGACCTGGCAGCCCTTACAGTTGGCAGGGTGTTCTTATAGACATATAGCGCATACCGAGGGAATAGTTTTCAGTTTATTGCATTCACTAGTCCTGTGTGACTCTCCGCGTTTGACGCATCTTGGGATGTGGTGGTAGTAAGCTCGGTATTATTATTATTTAAGAAAATAAGATAGCGAATTTTTAGTTTATCTATCCGAAATTTCAGAGAAGTTGGTTAAATAGATCAGTAAATGAAAGAACAAAGAATAAATAAATGAATTAAATTTATCTTTGACCTCTGTGCCGATGACTAGTGGGCAAAAGAGAGATGCAATATTGATGCTATAAGAACTAACAACTCAATTTCGATTTTGGTGACAGATGTCCATCTTTCATATGAGCAACTCAATTGATACTTGTGGTAATCATAGCTAATCCCATACACTTCTCAGGCTAGAACTATTGTTTATTCGTGCTTTTGGTCATATAGAGTTCGAGGCATTTGTGGCCACATCTGTAATCAAATTAACTTACATTTATTACTATTTGAGATTTATATTATTTCTTCTTTCAGGCTGCACAAACTACTACATCTACATTATCCAGTGCGATAACATTTTTAGCAGTTCTACCAGATATTCAAGAAATAGCTTGGCAAGAACAACAAACAATTTTCGGTAATGATAACAGAGATCCATCAATGGATGATTTAGAACAGATGCAGTTCCTTGACAGGTATACAATATAAACATATAAATTTATAGCACTAAAAATCTATAATAAGTATTATTATAATTCGACTATAAGAAACACGAAGGGTAGGCAAAGATATGTTTGACCTAACAGCTAAAACGAATTTTAAATTTAATGACAAAATTTTCAGTGAGATCCCGTGAATATTTTGAACAAAACTAAATGAATTTAATTTTCCCGTTAAAAGGTATGTAACGACTTATTGAGCAAATGACTCGACGGATTGATAAAGTTTAATGGTTCAAATGACTCACAAGGAGATTTTACAGGCAGTGGAGTATAAAATTTTCGGATATCCCAATTTTCGCCCTTAGAAATTTTTTAAACAACCACAAATAATTTGATAACTTCAAGAAAAACCCACTGATTTACACAAAAAGCATTATGGATTCAGGGCTGTTTGTGCTGATTGGCACCCTGGTACACAAAATAGTTGAAACCCGACCACCGTAATAATAGTAATAATATTAATGTTTTATTTATTCTGAGACGGGTCCCTTTAGAACCATGTGATTGTGCGAAATGTGGGCTAAGGAGCCTCAGAGATACATAAACAAAAATAAAGAATAATTTAATTGTCATAATAAAACAAAATTATAAGATACTTTCTAACTTAAATCAATTAATAAAAAATAAATGAAAATAAACACGAATTAAAAATAATGAAGAACGATCTTAACGAATAGTTTATATATATTTTTACAGTAATATCTATTTGCAATTTTATGAGGAATGAATGGATAAGAAATGATTGAACAGGCGGGATTTAAAGGTAGAAAGAGTATTGGATTGACGGATGTGGGAAAGCATGGAGTTCCATAGGGATGATTATCGGATAATGAACGATCTGTCGAAAGCAGCGAAAAGAAGATCGAGAATGAGTATTGCGGGAATGAACAGAGAATTTGAATTGAAGGAACTCGGAAATGTATGAAGGACGGTGGGATTGGATGACTTGAAAGAGGAAGGATGCTAGGAAATTACTTACGACGGTAGGAAGGATAAATCCACTTCAACTTTACATAATAACGTTAAACAGAGGCCTCCCTCGGGATCTGATTTGTTCTGGAAGATGAATCGTACAAAGCAATTTATCAAACGTTTTAGTTTTTTCCTTAAGATCCCCAGAGACGCCCCCAAACACGTACACCAATAGTCAAAGTGGGGGAAAATTTCGGAAGTGACTAGGAGCCTACGGGTTTCAAGAGAAAATAGGTGACTGATGTAATTTAGACGTTTTAAGGCGGAAATGGTACGGTGGGAGATATAGGATAAATGTTTTTTTTTTCAGGAAAGCGTTTGATAAAATTTTATTCCAAGGTTTTTGATAAAGGAGTAGAATTTGATGGGATTATCATGTAGGAACAGAATTGGAATATTAGGAATAATTTAAAGGAGGTGATTGGAGGCTATTAAGATTGCCTTCGTCTTTTCCGCATTAGATTAGAATTAGGACTAATGATTAAAATTAAAATGTTTGTGACGTTTTTTTCGAAGAAACGAATCTAAAAGATATTTATTTGAGTTGAAAGAGAAGTAATTATTCTTTCCAACGGTTCTGTTTAAGTTCAATTTCGCATTCATCACATCTGCTTACTGTCAAAATTATGAAAGAGGTGGATAGACGTATGAAGAGAAAAAAAAACCTTTAGAGAAAATGCTGAGAAGTTATGAATGCTTTAGTTCACAGGCGAAGAAAATATACACCAAGAAAATCTATTATTAAAATTTGCAGCTTTGAATTACTATAAAAATCAGTATTTAGGACTTTAAATAAAAGTAAAAAGTAAAAAAACAATTCTTGGCGTAATTTACGCGTAATGCCTTTTGGTTTTTGTAACATATGATTATAACATTATAACATAATTGATACTTTTTTTCTTATTCGGCACAAAAAAAACAACAAAAAAACTTACCGCTCAACTTTGAAATTATTTTCTTACCATGTTGGACTACTATAAAATTTTTGAATTGCATTTTTAACCGAGCTAAAGCTAAAATATTACAGCTAACAAATCATAATTACCCTAAAATACCAAAAGTACTATATATCATATCACCGGTTGATTGTACGACTATTAGTTATTAAATTGTTATTTCCCATTGCAAAGTTTAGTAAAACGGAATTAAGAGATTTGCATTATCTGTCATAGACAGGTCAAAAGTTGTCACACTAATTGTTAGTGGATTCTGTTTTAATATCGCAAAAGGAAAATTTACCAAATTATTCCCTAATTTAATTTTCTGAAAGGTTACATAATGATTTTTAGAAATAAACCGACGGATAGATACCCAACTATTTAAAGATAATATCAGATCTATAGCTATTAAACTACAGTAAATATATTTAATGTTATAAACGTATCCATGAAATATTTTTATATTTCACTTCTTTTTTCATACAAGTACCATGAAATAGTACCTTAAACAATGTCATTGCCTTGAATCCGCGGATTTAAATAATTTTTCAAACTTAAAAATTAATTTTACAAGTATACATTTATTAAGAAAATTTCATTTAATTTCCTTGAAAACACCTGATTTAAGTTAAACATTGTTAGTTTTTAGAAATTATTATTAAGAATTTTTTCGCCACTATCCGTTACCTTCAACAACAATCTATATTAGATATTGTTTTTTTACAACGATATTTTATACGCATACCTCCTAAACATTATTTCCGGATATTCATTCATTCTTTTTTCCTCCTTTATTTAATATCAAATCTTTCAAAAATTATATTTAGCATCTTTTTCCTACTCCTAACAACGAAAAATAGTTATTATTTATAATAAACCAAATTAAAGGTATTTTAGAGAAAGACAAATATAAATAACAATTTCAGAAAACTAACTCACATTATTCCAAGGAATTTAAATGAAATTTTCTTACTAAATGTAAACTTTTAAATTGTTTTTCAAGTTTGAAAAAAGGAAATAAAATCCACTGAATCAAGCCAATTACATTGTTTAAAATACAATTTTGTTGTACTTGTGTGAAAGAAGAAGTGAAATATAAAAATATTTCATGGATATGTTTATAACCTTAAATACATTTACTGTAGTTTAGTAACTCGAGATATGGTGTTATATTTAAATAATGAGGTATCTATTGGCTGTTTATACCAAAAAATCATCAAGTAATCTTTTAGAAAATTAAATTAGTGAATAATTTGATTAATTTTCCATTTGTGAAATCCCAACCTTATCCACTTCCAATTAATGTGAAAACTTTTGATCTATCCATGGCAAATTTCCATTTAGTAAACTTTACAATAGAAAATAACAATTTAATAATCAATAGTCCTACAATCCATAATCATTTATAGGTTAAATATTCAGATATACTTTCTAATCTCCCTAAGCATGTATGAGTCTTTTGGTTGACAGAATGACTAACTCCAATTTCAACATTCTTTATTATTAATTTCAGTTCTATTTTTAGTGTTAAAATGTATACCTTTATTCACAGTATTATAAAGTTATGAACTGAAGTTGTGTAGTTTATAAAACCAAGATGGAGGAACTAGATTTTTATTTCCTACTGTTAATATGATCAATATACATTTGTAATTGTAATGGTCTTAATGATTTGTTATCTGTAACCTATTAGCATTAGCTCTTTTTAAAATGCACTTCAAAAATTTTTAGTCCAACATTGACAGAAAATAATTTCTATTCAAAGTAGAGCGGTAAGTGAAAGTTGTGTGTTGTGCGCACCACATTATTTTTTTTTTTAATTTTGTCATGGTTTTGTCATGTCATTGTATAAAATTCGTTTAATAGCATTAAATTATGGGATAGTTTAATTTAAACTACATTAAAAAGAATAATTTATTTTAATCGATAAACATCCTATATTTTTACGCTGCAACCACCTACTTGGAATCAACTTACTCACTGGCTATATAGATATAACTTTTTCTACTAGAAATATAGCTAAAATAATATTACTCAAAATTGATGAAATTGGAGTTAATCATTCTGTCAAATGAAAGGTTCAGAGACTGAAATTTTGTGGTTTATAAAAGAAGATGGAGTAACTAGATTTTTAATACCTACCGTCGATATAATAAATAGATTTTTTTTTAATGTCTTAATGATTTGTTATTTGTAAGCTTTAAGCTTTAGATTCGTTTAAAATTCGCTTTAAAATTTTTATTGGACAAACGTCTAACTTGGAATCCTCATACCCGACTGAAACGACAAGAAACCGCTCGACGTTTCCGACTACTTCAACACTTACTAGACAAACGCTCTAACCTTCCAATCAATTATAAAAGACTGATTTACATGACTATAATAAGGCCTATTTGGACTTACGGGGTTGAGCTATGGGGCTCCACCAAGCCTTCAAATTCCTCTCGCATACAGTCCTTGCAATCCAAAATCCTTCGTAAAATCCTCAATGCTCCTTACTTTGTTACAAATACAATTATCCATAATGACCTTAATGTTCCTTATGTATCAGATTTGGCCCAATCCAGATATCTGTCCTTCCATAATAAACTTCATAACCATCCCAACCCTCTTGTCTCTAACCTTGCTTCCTATTCGATTCCTGATAACCCTCCGAGGCGTCTGAAAAGAAGATGGCCACGTGATCTTCTAATATAGACATATTATTAGAGTGCTACCAATGTATAGTTTCTCAACATGTGTTCCATTTCTTTATACCAATGTGCAAATTTACTAGATGTATTTTTTGTATACAGTTGTAAATATCATTTAAAATAAATAAAAAAATTTATTACAGCCCAGCAATGCCAGAAAATAATTTCTATTCAAACTAGAGCGGTAAGTAAAAGTTGTGTGTTGCCCGCACCAGTTTTTTTTATATTTTAGTGTGTATTTGAAAAAAAATAAATAAATAAAATTTATAATTGGTAATTGGTTGACTGTCGTGGATAATGAAGAGAAGAATAGTTGGGGTGGTCAGTGGGGTGGTCAGGCCTTCATCAGGACTAAGAAAATAACCAGATA